GCAGGCAGCCTTTAAGGGCTCAGTAAATGTGTTGAGTTGCCCAGAGGTCATTCTCCTAGAGCCAGGAGGAAAGCAGTGTAAACCACTGTACTCACCTAAGAAGATCTGAAGGAAAGGGAATGGACTGGGACAGTTCTGGGAGCAGAAGCTGAGAAATGAGGCCCAAGCAAGCACTTATTAAAGGGAAGCTGTGGGCAGTAGGCCTCCACAGGAGACAAGTACTGCTGCATTGAGAGACTGTTTTGCAATAAACTATTGACTCCTTTCTTGCAGCATTTCTTGTGTGAATTTCCTCCTCGACTGGCCTTACCTTCATCTGCCCAGCAGCCAGCTCTGCTGTAGTGGAAGAGGAAAGGGAGCATTGGAACATTCTTGTCCTTAGGGAGTGTGTTAGTCATCTAGTGCCGCTATAACAAATACTACAAGTGGATGGCTTTAACAAAGAGAAATTTATTCTGTCACAGTCTAGTAGACTACAAGTCCAAATTCAGGACGTCGGCTCCAGGGTAGGGCTTTCTCTGTCGGCTCTGGAGGAAGGTCCATGTCATCAATCTTCCCTTGGTCTAGGAGCTTCTCTGCAGGAACCTCAGGTCCAAAGGACGCGCTCTGCTCCCGGCACTGCTTTCTTGGTGGTATGAGGTTGCCATGTGTCTTTGCTCGCTTCTTTCTTTTATATCTGAAAAGAAATCGGCTAATACACTATCTAATCTTGTAGAGCTCATCAATATAACTGCCGCTAACCCATTTTATTACATCACAGTGATAGAATTTACAACACATAGGGAAGTCACATCAGATGATAAAATGGTAGACAGTCATACAATACTGGAAATCATGACCTAGCCAAGTTGACAGATATTTTGGGGGGACACAACTCAATCCACGACAGTGAGGACCCACTCTGATGGGAAGAGACCTCCAGCTGTTAAAAAGCTGAGTCTGAGAGCAACAAAAAAACATATATGCAAAAATGGACTTAAGAACACACCCAAAGAATTATATAAACCAGGTATAAAAGAACATAGCCCTGGTAGCACAGTGGTTAAGAGTTCGGCTGCTAACCAAAAGGTCAGCAGTTCAAATCCACGAGCTGCTCCTTGGAAACCCTATGGGGCAGTTCTACTTTGTCCTATAGGGTCACTAGGAGTTAGAGTTGACTTGACGGTAATGTTTGTTTTTTTTCTTCCTTGATGATGAAACCTAGAAATAACCTATTTTATGGCATATATGAAAATAAGTAGATTAAAGACTCAAATGTAAAAAACAAACAATAAAACACTTAGGAAAAACATGTAAGTCTACCAGTATAATCCAGGAGCAGGAGAAACCTTAAGTAAATCTAGAAGCTATAAAAGATAAGATGGACATACCTAACTTTGTAAGGCAGTCAGCTAACATATGAGAACGTATGTGACAATAGTCAACTCACCAGCAGTCAGGAAAATACAAATTAATGATGAAATATCACTGCTCGCATCAGGCTGGTAAAAATGAAAAGAAGAAATAACACCTGTTGGTGGGGATGCTTTTGTACATTGTCACTGGAAATGTGAATTGTGAAGAACCTTTTTAGAAAGAAACACGGCAACCTCATTTGGATCCAGATTAGAACAAACTGCAAAAAAAAAAAATGTTTTGAGACAATAAGGAAAATGTGAACACTAACTGGCCATTTCATGTATGCTGAGCAAATAATCTGAGAAGTTGGACTATATGAAGAAGAACGGGGCATCAGGATTGGAGGAAGAGTTATTAACAGCCTGCGATATGCAGATGTCACAACCTTGTTGAAAGTGAAGAGGACTTGAAGCACTCACTGATGAAAATCAAAGGCCACAGCCTTTAGTATGAATTACACTTCAACATAAAGAGAACAAAAATCCTCACAACTGGACCAATAAGTAACATGATAAACAGAGAAAAGATGGAAGTTGTCAAGGATTTCATTTTACTTGGATCCATGATCAACACCCGTGGAGGCAGCAGTCATGAAATCAAATGATGCATTACGTTGGGCAAATATGCTGCAAAAGATCTCTGTAAAGTGTTAAAAAGCAAAAATGTCCCTTTAAGGACTAAGGTGCACCTGACCCAAGCTCTGATGTTTTCAGTCACCTCATATGCATGTGAAAGCTGGTCAATGAATAAGGAAGACCAAAGAATTGATGCCTTTGAATTATGGTGTTGGCAAAGAATATTGAAAATACCATGGACTGCCAGAAGAATGAACAAATCTGTCTTGGAAGAAGTACAGCCAGAATGCTCCTTAAAAGCAAGGGTGGCAAGACTTTGTCTCACATACTTTGGACATGTTATCAGCAGGGACCAGTCCCTGAAGAAGGACATCATGTTTGGTAAAATACAGGGTCACTGAAAAAGAGGAAAACCCTCAACAAGATGGATTGGCACAGTGACTGCAACAATGGGCTCGAACATATCAACGATTGTGAGGATGGCACAGGACCGGGAAGTGTTTCGTTCTCTTGTACATAGGGTCACTATGAGTCGGAATCGACTCGATGGCCCCTAACAATAACAGTAGTATTGTGGGGTTATTGTTTTGTGTGTCCTTTTTTTTTTTTTTTTTCTTTACTGGTAAAATCATATAATGCCTGGGATTTACTTCAGAATAAGCCAGGGTGTGAGGAGGTCAGTGGCTGATGGTATAGAGCAAGAGTCAGCAAACTACAGCCCACAAATGAAATCCAGACCCGTTTTTCTAAATAAAGTTTTATTGAGACGCAAGCACACTCATTCGCTTTTAGGTATTGTCTAAGGCTGAGTTGAGTGTTGTTGTTATTAGGTCCTGTCGAGTCGGTTCCGACTCATAGCAACCCTGTATACAAAAGAATGAAACACTTCCCAGTCCTGCGCCATCCTCACAATTGTTGCTGTGCTTAACCCCATTGTTGCAGCCACTGTGTCAGTCCATCTTGCTGAGGATCTTCCTCTTTTTCGCTGACTCTCTACTTTACCAAGCATGATGTCCTTCTCCAGGGGCTGGTCCCTCCTAATAACGTGTCCAAAATATGTGAGATGAAGTTTCACCATCCTCGCTTCTAAGGAGCATTCTGGCTGTACTTCTTCCAAGACAGATTTGTTCATTCTTCTGGCAGTCCATGGTACATTCAATATTCTTCGCCAACACCATAATTCAAAGGCATCAATTCTTCTTCTGTCTTCCTTATTCATTGCCCAGCTTTCACATGCATATGAGATGATTGAAAACATCAGGGCTTGGGTCAGGCACACCTTAGTCCTTAAAGTGACATCTTTACTTTTCAACACTCCAAAGAGGTCATTTGCAGCAGATTTGCCCAATGCAGTACCTCATTTGTTTTCCTGACTGCTGCTTCCATGGATGTTGATTGTAGATCCAAGTAAAATGAAATCCTTGACAACTTCAGTCTTTTCTGCGTTTATCATGATGTTACTTATTGGTCCAGTTGTGAGGATTTTTGTTTTCTTTATGTTGAGGTGTAATCCATACTAAAGGCTGTGGTCTTTGATCTTCATCAGTAAGTGCTTCAAGTCCTCTTCACTTTCAGCAAGCAATGTTGTGTCATCTCCATAACACAGGTTATTAACAAGTCTTCCTCCAATCCTGATGCCCTGTTCTTCTTCATATAGTCCAGCTTCTCGGATTATTTGCTCAGCATACAGATTAAATAAGGATGCTGAAAGGATACAACCCTGACACACACTTCCTTGATTTTTAAACCATGTCAGTATCCCCCTGCTGTGTTCACACGACTGCCTCTTGGCGGAGTAGTCAGATGCTTCCGGTGGACCCTCTTATAACAAAGACCTGAAAAAACAAGTGAATCGATTATATATGGCAGTCTGGGGGTTCTGAACATCAAAGGCAGAGCTGAGGAACTGGACTGAGTGGCAGGGGGTGGGAGAGATGGTTTTTCCCTAAGGGTGATCCGCGTGGTACGCAAGTACTTATCTTTCGCCGATCCAGGGTTTTTTCTCACTGGTTCTGGATGGCCGTGTAGACTCCCTGGCGCTGGGTCTTTCCTGGTGTGGAAAACGCGCCTCCCGAGCACCGCTGCTTGCCTGCCTCACCACTCACCCCCGAGCTGATCAGGCCTGAAGGGCTCACGCTCTCGCCGTTTCATTACGATCTACACAGTTTCATTGAAATACTTTACTTTGCTCAAGTTGCCCTTTGAAATCTTTTCAGCTCTTTTACTTCATAACAGTTTGTTAACATGGGATAAGGGTAGAATGATGTTGGTGGAAGGGGAAGCAAGCAAAACAGAAAAAGAAAAAAATCTGTACTTAAAAAAAAGAGCCTATACATTATGATCCCATTTATGACTTTTAATAAGTTATAACCATGTGTATGTGTGCTTTGCTAAATTAAAAAGAGTTATGATTTTCAAAACAACTAGAAAGGAGTGATATTTTTAATATCCTTTGATGTTATTAAGGAAATAAATGGAAATTTGGTTAGGAGTTGGAAAATGCCCAGGAGTGGGCAGACTGAAGAGATTGGAATCAGCACTGCAGGCCTGGGTCAGCCCAGGGAGGCTCTGTGGAAGGGCCTGAGAGGTGAGAAGGAGTGGCTGCATGGTCTTGGGCCATGGTTGCTCCCAGATCGCAGAGCCTCTTCCCCCTGCTCCCGGAGAAATAATGTTTCCCTGGGGGATGAAAAGCATCTCTTTGTGCAGGCTTTAATTGCCATGTTGTTATGCCCAGTGAGTGAATGGCAGGCGGATGCAGCAGCTGGGCACAGCCAATGCCAGGCAGCAAAGCTTGCTCCCTCGGGACAGCCTGAACCAGTTGGCTGGGAGTGCTGCCCACCTCTGCCCCCAAATGGGGACCCGCACAGGGACCAGCCCTCAGTGGAGCAGGGGCAGGGGGGTCAGCGGGGCAAGAGAGGACTCATTGGAGGAAGAGAAAGGGGTGGGGTGTCTGGGAAGGTCTGAGCCACTCTCAGAGGCTTATTCATCTCATCCTCCTTTCCCCTCCCTCTCCCTCTTGTTTTTCAGACTGTCAGCATCAATAAGGCCATTAATACGCAGGAAGTAGCTGTAAAGGAAAAACACGCCAGAAATATCCTTTTGGATGTTGCTTGGAAGACCAGCCCTAAGTGGGGACTGAATAGTGGGGACTGAAGTCAGTGCAAGGCTTCCTTGCTGAGCTCCAGAAAGGGAAACCCCCACACGGGCAGGCTCCAGGCAGCTTCCTTTGGCAGCAGCAGGCTGTCAGAGTACTGGTCTCAGAGGTGTCACACTGTCAGGGTGGAAGGGACTGAAGAGGCCAACTAGCCAGTCCTTTAAACTCACGAAAGATTCTGCTCCTCTTCTCTAGGACTTAAGTTTTCAGAACTGCAATGTCACTTGAAGTTACTTTCGTTTGAGATGTTTCCTTGGAGCACAGAAGAGGGTTTTCACCTGTGTTATCAAAGCGCTGCAGGCCCTGCACTTTGCCCTTAAGGCCAAACTGACCACCCACTTAGTGGGGATGACTATCTTCCCCTTTTCTGACCTTTTATCTTCCCCTTTTTCTGAGAAAAAAAAGGTCTCAGCAGTAGTGATTAGCCATATGTCAACCATAGTGGCTCAGTGACGGGAGCAAGATCCACCTGTGTGAGCAGCTTCAGCCATGCCAGAGGAGGGGAAAACAGGAGCCTCAAAGTGGAGTGTGGAAACTGGTGCCTTGAAAGCTCTTTACCAAGCCCATCACAGCAGATAGGCAGAGGCCCATGGGCAGCCATCATTAGGGGTAACGGGCTTTGTAGAGAAGCACAGGCAGCAGCTTGGGCCGACGGATACCTTGGGCATCTGTCCTTGCGATGTAGAGTCCAGGAGCTGGAGAGCTTGATATCTACAGGCTGAAGGAGGAGGCTTCCAGTGGGGCTGCCTTTATGTCTGTGTGTTCTGGGGCCAAGCGGGGTAGAGTTCAGGCAAGTGGAGTCTGTCGATGGAAAGCCCGTTCTCCCCTGTGCTCGTCATGTTTGCTGTGGCACAGCCAGTCAGGCCTGAGCAGCTCATCTTGAAGCCATCCAGCCTCAGTCCTAGGATGAGACCCTTACAGTTAGGTGGCCAGGGAAGCCCAGCACTGCCTAGCACAGTGCTGGAACATGGGAGGCACTTGGCAATATTGCTGAAAGGATGACCACGTGAACGGCTCTTCCCTGGAGTGACAGCAGCTTGCCTTTAATGGGAAGGTGTTTGGTTGGAATTAGAAAGGGCTTTGCTGCAGGGTGGAGGTTATAAAATTTCTCAGAGGTAACTAGCCTAGCTACACCTTGCCCCTTTTTTTCTCCCCAAAAAGGCATAGTTCCTTTGCTTTACTGCATCAAGGTTGGTACCCTTGTCATGATTCAAAACAAGCCTTCGTCATAAGTGGCCCAATTGATTTTCTCAGAGGGAATTACCCAGTCCAGACCCCTACCTTCGAAGTATATGTGATCAGTCTGATTGATGCAAGACATTAAGTAAGCAGCCTTTGTCATAGGTTAATGTGTTTTCTTGGATGGGGGATTGGCACAGAGGACTAGGCCTGCAGTGGCAGGGCCATGTCACACCCTGGGGCAGTGGAGGGGACATTGGAGTGCGCCTGATCTGGCTGCTGTTTAGGCAGACTGCACACTCGTAAAGTAACTATAAGGAGCCCTGGTGGTACAGTGGTTACAATGCACGGCTGTTAACCAAGAGGTTGGAGGTTCTAACCTACTAGCAGCTCCACAGGAGAAAAGACCTGGTGATCGGCTCCTGTAAAGATTACAGCCTAGGAAACCCTACAGGGCAGTTCTATCTGTCGCATAGGGTTGCTGAGTGGGAATCCACTCAGTTGGCACACAGCAACAACAAAGTAACTAAAGTCGGCCCATAAGAAGTCAGTGCAGGACATCAGGAGGAGATGCCCATCTCTCCTGTTTGTCTCCAGGCTGCAGGGGCTGTGCTTTAGGTGAAAAGGTAAGTTATTTCAGAAATACAAGACCAGAGAGGCAGGGCCAAGATGGCGGAGTAGTCAGATGCTTCCGGCGGACCCTCTTATAACAAAGACCTGAAAAAACAAGTGAATCGATTATATACGGCAGTCTGGGAGTACTGAACATCAAAGGCAGAGCTGAGGAACTGGACTGAGTGGCAGGGGGTGGGAGAGATGGTTCGGAAGCAGCAAGGAGTTGCCAGAACTGAAACGGCAAGAGCCTGAGCCTTTCAGGCCTGATCAGCTCGGGGGTGAGCGGTGAGGCAGGCAAGCAGCGGTGCTCGGGAGGCACGTTTTCCACACCAGGAAAGACCCAGCGCCAAGGAGTCTACACGGCCACCCAGAACCAGTGAGAAAAAGCCTTGAATCGGCAAAAGATAAGTACTTGCGTACCATGCGGATCACCCTTAGGGAAAAACCTCTCTCCCATTTATCTCCCTACTCCCTGCCTACACTGGGTCCCAGACCGCCTTCAGCAACTGCTCAGTCCCCTGGGCCAGAAGTAGGATCCGTCACACACCTGGAGCCATTCTCCCTACCTTAGAGAGTGAACAAATTAACAAATGGGGAAAAAATAAACTGCCGGCTCCCCTAAGACAGGAACCCAGGGTAGGCACAGCTCCTTGGCCTACGCACAGGAATAAGGGATCCACGGACTTTGAGTGCCTTTCCCCCTGCATAGACTTGTGTGGGCCCATTTCAACAGCGTAGGCCCTCATTACCGCAGTACAACAAGGTATCTACTGGAAGTCTAACTTCAACTGTTTCAGCTATGAAGTGGCAGGTTCTTGACATTTGACACTGCTCTGCCCATTAAGCAGGGTCTTCAACTACCCACATCAGGAGCCTGAGGACTGGTGGCTCCACCCAAGCCACCTAGCCACCTGTGATAGGGACCCATGAATAAGAGGTGCCCCCCAGTCCTTACAGCCAACACCATTAGGTGCTCATACTCTGGCTGCAAAACCCACCCACCTACATGCTCTGGGGAACAGGGACACGCCTTCATCCTGGACACTTGGGACCAGCCGTCAGCCCCCTGCCTTGCTCAGAGTGTGTCCGCTTGCTGCAGCCAGATGCCTGTGCCTACAACAATCAGCCATGCCTGTCTAGGACTGTAAGTGAGAGCCTACACCATACACTTGGTGGCTATTACCTGGGCATCTGAGCTGAATCCATACAGGAGGAGTGGGCTGACTCCTGAGCTCACATACCTAGTAATAAATCTAACCACCTGGTGACAGGACATTAGAGCTTCAAAGGTGCCAGTAATCAAACTAGCTCATATGAGCAGCCTATTTGGGCGTATCAAAACAAAACAAGAAGCTAGGACACAGTAAGCAAACATAAAATAAATAAATATAATAACTTACTGATGGCTCTGAGATATCAGTCAATATCAAATCATATAAAGAAGCAATCCATGATGGCTTCAGCAAGGTCCCAAAATAAACTAGAAATTTACCAGAGCAGGAAAATCTCTTGGCATTACCGGAGGCAGAATACAAACCATTAATATACAGAACTGTTCAAGAAATTAAGCAAAATTCAGAACACGCAATAGAGGAAATTAAAAAGATTACAGAAGAGCATAATGACAAATTTAACAGGCTGCAAGAATCCATGGAGAGACAGCAATCAGAAATCCAGAAGATTAACAGTAAAATTTCAGAATTACACAACTCAATAGAAAGTTATAGGAGCAGAACTGAGTCAATGGAAGGCAGAATTAGTGAGATTGAAGGTAAAGCGCTTGACACCAACTCATTTGAGGAAAAATCAGATAAGAGGATTTTAAAAAATGAAGAAACCCTAAGAATTATGTGGGACTCTATCAAGGGGAATAACTACGAGTGATTGGAGTACCAGAATGGGGGGGTGGGGGTGATAACAGAAAATACAGAGAATTGTTGAAGATTTGTTGGCAGAAAACTTCCCTGATATCGTGAAAGATGACAAGATACCTATCCAAGATGCTCACTGAACGCCACATAAGGTAGATCCCAAAGAAAGTCACCAAGACATGTTATAATCAAACTTGCCAATACCAAAGATAAAGAGAATTTTAAGAACGGCTAGGGATAAACGAAAAGTCATCTACAAAGGAGAGTCAATAAGAATAAGCTCAGACTACCCAGCAGAAACCATGCAGACAAGAAGGCAATGGGATGACATATATAAAGCCTTGAAGGAAAAAAACTGTCAGCCAAGAATTTTATATCCAGCAAAACTGTCTCTCAAATATGATGGCAAAATTAGGGCATTTCCAGCTAAACAGAATTTTAGGGAATTTGCAAAAACCAAACCAAAATTACAAGAAATACTAAAGGAAGTCCTCCGGTTATAAAATCAATAACATCAGATAATAACCCAAGACTAGAACACAAGACAGAGCAACCAGATATCAACCCAGATAAGGAAATCACAAAAGTAAATCAAAGCTAAAACACTGAAAATAGGGAAACAGATGTCAATATGTAAAAGATGACAACATTAAAACAAAAAAGAGGGACGTTAAAAAATGTAGACATAGATTTTTCATTTGGAGAGGAAGTCAAGGTGATATAAAGAATAAAAGACTGGTATAAACTT